CTGGTGATCTGGAAAATAAAATAATGAGAAAGTATGGGTTTCTCATATATGTAATTTCTTTATGCTTGTGGGTAAACAGTATTTCTTGCTGTTTCTTTGTCAGTGATGATGTGGAGAGTGTCTGGTTTGCTTACTCTGGAACATGCAACATATAATTGTCCTTCTTTAGGGGTCCCTTTCAAATCTGTGATACTGTGTGTGTGTGAATCATATCTGTCTATCCATATCTGTGGCTGGATGGCTCTTTGTCAGGAGGGCTTTGATTACATTTTCTTGCCTTGGTGAAGGGAGTTGGACTGGATGGCCCTAAGTATTTACTGTTGGTCATGGGGGTTCTGTGTGGGAAGTTTGTCCCAATTCTGTCGTTGGTGGGTTTCAGTATGCTCTTTGATTGTAGGTGAACTATAAATCCCAAATGTCAAGGTCTATTTTCCTCAAATTCCATCTGTTTTCATATTTGGGCATATGGAATATTAGTGCCAAGTTTGGTCCAGATCCATCATTGTCCACAGTGCTCTCTGGATGTAGGTGAACTACAACTCCCAAACTCAAGATCAATGCCCACCAAACCCTTCTAGTGTTTTCTGTTGGTCATGGGAGTCCTATGTGCCACGTTTGGTTCAATTCCATCATTGGTGGAGTTCAGAATGCTCTTTGATTGTAAGTAAACTATAAATCCCAGCAACTACAACTCCCAAATGAAAAAAATCATTTTTTTTGAGTGACGGTCACTTCTTGGGTTAGTAGGTATCTTGTGGCCAAATTTGGCAGCAATTGGTCGAGTGGCTTTTGAGTTATGTTAATTCCACAAACTAACATTACATTTTTATTTATATAGATTTACCAGTAGCTGCTGCATTTCCCACCCTCGGCTTATATTCGTTTCCCCAGTTTTTTAGGTGCCTCGGCTTCTATTCAGGTTGGCTTATACTCGAGTGTATACGGTACTAAATTCTTGATTAGAAGGGTTGGCTTTTAATCAGGCACTTCTAGACCATATTTTTATGTTGCCATTCTTCAATACATAACATCATGGTAATTGACATTATAGTTGCGTCCCTGGTTATTTGCACCCCAAAAATGTTGTTGAAAATAATATCATGGGAACCCACTACCTAATATTCAGAAATAGGTTAAATGGGACATTCTGGTATTACAATTAACAAGTGGCATCTATGCAGCCTGAGAAAAGTTGCAGAATAGAAATGAATGTCTGTGGCCCTGCACTTGAACTGCTTTTCTTTGATGATAGAAGTCAAATGTATTTTAACCTGGCTAGATTTATTAAACCAGCAAACAGGACCTGGAGTGAGGCTTGCAATCTTATACAACATCAGTATGGTCTACTTGAGGTTCAGTAGAGGTTTTTCTTTCAGGGTCCTTCCACACAGCCCTATATCCCAGAGTATAAAGGTAGAAAATCCACATTGCCATATATTCTAGTTCAAAGGAGATATTGTGGGATTTTCTGGCCTTATATTCTAGGATACAGAGCTGTGTAGAAGGGCTCTTAGTGACATGTTCTAAGAATGTGCCTTTGATAATATGGAGTTGCCGTTGGTTTTGATAATGATCCCAGTGCTCTGTATGTGTGTGTGTTTTAATGGTTGGAGCTGTGAGGCCACCAGCAATTGGTCTACAGGGGGTGAAAATATTCACGACTTACTGGATTACCCTTATTTTGTCAGGCATGGTTGTCTTCTTCGAAATTTAATGCTTTACTGTAATATCCTGTGGCCTGATAGTTAATCCCCACTCATTTCTTTACAGCTATGACGATTCTTGAGAGCAAGACATCTGTCACGTACTCTTGCTTCTGTTTGATTCATGTTTTCTCAGAAATGTATAATGCGAAAGTCAGGAAAGTGTAGCTGCCTCTAAGAATTTTTTTTTATTTTGTGAAAATGTATTTGAATGGAAGACTGTCAATGAATGTCAGGCAAATTTCAGAGACAGGATCTGGAAAAACCAACTCTTGAGTATTCCTTGCCTAAGAAAATCCTATGAAATTCATGGAGTCACCACAGGTTAGAAGTCAACCTGGAGGCACAGATGGCACACAAGAGGCAAGGAGCTTAGTTCCTCTCTGCTTCGTCTCCCACCATTTTGGCACCTTATCTAACTGGTTCTGTTAAAAAACAAAGCAGATCCTATAGACCTGAAGTCCCGCTTGTCTTGACTTAGGCGAGAGAGGGAGCAGGAGGAGGAGAGAAGATGGCTTTTGGGTCTCTTCCATGATTGTTGGAATGATGTATAGGCTAAAGTATAGCATTTTCCACTCAAAGTTGACTTCAAGAGCCTCTCCATAAACCTTTCTGTGCCAGAATAATTCACTTACTGTGTGGATGAATCAACAATGCCATTGTTGATGAATAGGCCACATACCTAGGAAGCTAGCAGTGCTGGCGATGGCAAAGAAGTGCCATTCATCCATCATAGCCTGTCAGCCAGCTGCTGTGTTGGCAAGAAAGCTTTTGTGGGCCTAGGGGAGTCAATGACACAATTGGTATGGTGCTGAAGGGAAGCTGAGGCAGCCTCTGTGAACTGATAAGGTAGAAAGATGGAGAAGACTAACAGAGAGGAGAGAAACTCTGAAGAAGCATGGAAATGTAAGCTGGACCCTAAGGGCTGCTTGCCCCATGTCAAAGTGGCCAGACGGGCTGGCCTTTTGGTTCATTTCCCTCCAACTTCATTGTTCAGGCATGGCCAGATGCTTCAGAGAGATGTTTATGTGTAGCAGAAGTAGCACACCACTTGTTGTTTGTTCCCAGTATCTGACAGACTTGGAGGCAGACTCATTATTCAAATCTGTCCACTGACCACCTTGGCTAGTGGCCAGTGCATTGACGAGCCTGCCTCTGTTATGTTTTAGAATTGAGTTAGTCAGTGTGAATGTGGTGGAATTCTTCTTTTCCGCTTTGAGCAAGTTGTGAGAGACCACACTAGATTGTCTTGTGTATCGGTCAGCAGACATAAATTAGCACTTTAGTGGAAATGGATTGGAAAGGCGATTTACATGAGGATACTATTCTATTTGGTAACAAATGTTTTTATATTATTTAATTAATGGCCTATGCATTTTATGTATTTTATATATTTTAATGGTTTGATGGTTTGTTTAATGGTTATTGTATTAATTGTTCATGTAACAGCATTGATTTGCTGCCTATGTAAGCCATCCTGAGTCCCCCTTTTGGGGTAGAGAAGAGACGGGATATAAATACCAGAAAATAATAAATATCTATATTTTATCTCTAGTAGCAAAACAGGACTTGTATATGAGGAGAACATTAGATTGAGTGGTAGTACAGCAGGGCTGTAGGGCATCATCAGGGGTTGCCTTGTTGCCCCCACATTGTCTGCCACTGGAGTAGCAGTAGTAAAATTACTTAGGAGATCCCTCATTGTCCAAGCATGATGGCCTTCCAATGATAGGGTCTTGGCAGTGGATTCATAGGTGACTGTAGAACCCTATTCTTGACTCACATGTTCTTCCACAGTGAGGACATTTGTTTCCAAGTAGAAGGCGGTTCCAGTCAGGGTTGGCATGACATGCCTTCCTCTTGCATGATTCTCCCTTTCACCCTCCATTTGTGCCTCTTCAAATTCCACAGCACTGCTAGTCACAGCTGACCTCCAGTTAGAGCACTCAAGGGCCAGGGCTTCCCAGTTCTTAGTTTTAAGCCCATCTTTAAATCTCTTTTTCTGTTCACCAACATTACATTTCCTGTTCTTGAGTTGGGAGTATAATAACTGCTTTGGAAGATGGTGATCTGACATTTGGACAACGTGGCCAGTCCAGCAGAGTTGATGGCGTAGGATCGTTGCTTCAGTGCTGGTGGTCTTTGCTTCTTCCGGCATGCTGACATTTCTCCGCCTGTCTTCCCAAGAGATTTGCAGGATTTTTCGGAGGCAATGCTGATGGAATCATTCCAGGAGTTGAGTGTGATGTCTGTAGACAGTCCATGTTTCGTAGGCATATAACAGGGTTGGGAGGGCAATAGCACCTTGGTATCTTTGCAGATGTCCCGATCCTCACTCTCTGCTTCATTTGGAAAAATGCTGCACTCGCAGAGCAGAGCTCATGCAGTGTTGTATTTCAGTGCCAATTTTGACTTTTGTGGTAAAATTAAAAAATTAAAAAAATAAATTTTGTGGAGTGGTAAAATTACCTTTCCCAGGTGGTCTATTAAGCACTTCTGGGCACATGGGGAGCCTCTTCCTTGTGTGGAAGCACAACTGTGCTCCAAGTTAAGGGAAAGACCATACATTTTGCCATGCCTTCTGGCAGATAATTTGGCAAGGATGGCGATGTTACTGTAGATCAAGAGAGGAGTACAATGTTTGATCTGTAGGCCACGTTATCTAATCTACCCTGATTTAAACAATCAATCCTCTGTTCTGATTAAAATCAGAGTCTTTCTGTCACCCCATGGTGGCTTATATGTTAAATTAATACTGCTCTTTTGTGGATCCTATATATCATTGCTGTTTCAAGCCTAAGATTAAAGAACACCCTCCCCATGTGGCCCAAATTGAGTAGGCTGTGTGAATAAATGCATACAAATGTATATTTGTTGTGTGGTTTACCTGAGCTGCTGAATTTATTTTTTCTGTGCCGTGGCTCTTTTGGATTCTTATGCCAGGCTTTGGAGATCAGAATCTCTGCATTTTAAAGCCAACACTAGAGCATCAGATCTTTCCATTGGGGACTAGTAATCCCAAAACACTTAGTGCCCACAGCCATATATGGTAAACCGGCTTTGCTGGGCTTATGGACACATTGGTGGAGGATAATTGAAGTTATAAACTAGCATACTGGAAAGTGATGGGCTAGGAAATGCTCCCAGATTTACCCTTGGGGAATATTAATTTAAAAATCTCGAATAGCACTAAGGATGCCAAAATACTTTCCATGGGCTTTGCAGTGAGCATGATTAACATGAAAGGAAACATATGAATCTAACTCAAAACTCACAATTCTTTCTTCTCTTTGGTAGGTTGTCCATGTTGAGGGCCATGTGACCAAGACCCTGAACTATCTGGAGGTGAGTCCCCCCGGCGTCTTGAAAACTGGACCATATGGCACTGCTTTGAAGCCTCACTCACTCAGCCCTGCTCGGATATTTTCCAGTGAGCCATCCAAAGCTAAACTGGATCCGTATGGTGGTGCCATGACACCATGGGACTGGAGTAAGAACCAGACAGCAATGGAGCACTTCAATCAGCGGGCCAAAAGAAAGCCTTCCATGAAAGCAGGACGTACCAAGAAGATCTTTGGCTGGGGGGATTTCTATTTCAACATCAAAACCCTGAAGTTCAGCCTCTTGGTGACAGGCAAGATTGTGGATCATATTAATGGCACCTTCAGTGTTTATTTCCGCCACAACTCCTCCAGTCTGGGCAATGTCTCAGTAAGCATTGTGCCACCGACTAAGATTGTTGAGTTTGATGTCTTAGTTCCTCCTATCCAAACCCAACACCTCCACCCTCAGCAGTCCACTTTAGCTGAACCCAAGGAATCCAAGACCTTCAACTGCCACGTGGAGTATGAGAAGACCAACCGGGCACGCAAGAACAAGCCTTGCCTCTACGACCCCTCCAAGATCTGCTTCACTGAGCACACGCAGAGCCACGCTGCCTGGCTGTGCGCCAAACCGTTCAAGGTCATCTGCATCTTCATCTCGTTCTTCAGTATCGACTACAAGCTAGTCCAGAAGGTCTGTCCAGATTACAACTTCCAGAATGAGAATCCCTATTTTGGCTGACGAGGGAACAGGGTGCTTTTGAGGGACGGGGATGCAGGGAGGGGAGGGCTATTTAAGTAAGCGGTGATTTTTATCAGGGTGAGAGTTGGCGGAACAGTGAAAGAAAGAGTTTGATGGACAGTGAAAGAAACAGAAAAGCCCCCTTTCTCCGTTCTTGATGGGAGGACAGTCACCAGGTCTGACTAGGAACTGGATGCAAGTCCATCAGATAAACATTCCCCTCCCAGTGACCACTCAACCTCCGAGAACGATGGGGAAATTGAGATTTATCTAAGATACAACATTGCTTTCATGCTCCACCCTGCCCCTCTTCTGATGTCTCTTGGGGGTGTCTCATGGAAGTTCCCAGCAATATGAAGAAGCGGCTTGCTATGCCTGTCTCTCTTTTGTGCATAAATGAACCCTGCTGCTCTGTGGCGTTGTCACAATGGCTACATAATCCTTTCTCCTGAAATCATGCCTTCCATGTGGAATGTAAGGGTGCTGAGTGGCGGCAATCATATCTGTCTGTCTGTCTATCTGTCTGTCTCTCTGCCTCCTCACCTCTCCCTGGGATAAGCCACAAACCATCAACCTGAAGTTCTCACTAACTTGGCTGAGGCTGTAGGAAAGGGCAGGAAAAGACAAAGGAGCTGGGGAGTGGATGATGACATGGGGTAAACACTGTCCATTGTATGATCATCCATATACAAACAAAATAAAAACATATTACATTTGGGGTGGGGTGGGATTTGAACTGAGGGTAGATATGGAAGTTGGAGCCACATAGCATCTATTTGAAGGAAACAGCAAGGTTGGAAGGTATACAGGCGCATCTGAATGTAACCAAAATGGTAGCCTTTTCCAGTGGGCATGCGAAAATGGAAACGTTCTCAGCAGAGGCATGGGTGAGTGTTAATAGAAACCTAAGTAGGTGTGTGTACGAGCAGCCAAAGAGACTGAAATTCAACAGAAGCGTGTCAGTAGTAACAAGTAGATGGAGTGTGTATGTGTACACAGCATGGTGCCTCACAAGAACATGCGCTACATTTTGTGGCCTTAATGACATACATGTGCACAAGAGTGTTCATTTGAATATATAATGAGAAATGTATATGCATGTTAGCAACAAGTAACAAAAGTGTGTGAGCATTTTAATTAGGGCTGGGAGTGTTTATTGATTTATTCAGCCGATCAATCAACACGAGTTAATCACAGATAGAAATTTCGCCTTCTAATTGATTGATGGGGTTTCAAAGAAGGACACGCTGTTGGGTGCCTGGACTGGTGTACTAGCTCCCTTCCTTGCTGCGGATGGGTTTTGCTTCCAGTTTACATCCAAAGAGAACCAATATTTCTTATTTCAGGGTGAAACCATTAGGGTTTTCCTGCCAGCAATAAGAATCACAGAGCAGCAGTGGCTGACAGTGCTCACTTGAAAAGGACATCAATTTGTCTTTTCAGTCTGGATCTTTTGTGCTACCTATGGGATTTGAAGTTGTTCCTTTTTGAAGCCGTGTAGGCTGTGGCGTGTGCCTGTAATTGGGACTATTCTGTATGGAAAAGAACATGTAAAAGATCGCCTTTTCCTTCTTGACAATGAGAGGCAGCTTTTGGTTATTCAAGGAAAAGTGACCTCATATTTTAGTGGGAACTCAAGCTTTCCCTTCTGCAACATCAAAAAAGCACCTGTAAATGTTTCCAATAAGTTCATATATCTTTAAATATAATTGATCTGCTGATCAAAAGCCAGTTAATTATTCAGCAAAACCTCTTTTTAAAAAAACAAAAACAAACCCAATAGACAGCTATTTAATCTGTGCACGTGTTTGGGTGTGAAGATTTCATCAAAGAGTATGGTGACATTTGACTACTGAGTGTGTTTTATCAAGAATCTGAATGCATCAGCAAGGAGTGCCAGCGTGTAAAAAGGTGTGGGTGAACAGGTGATATGGTGTTGATGGGGAAGCCTGCAGGTGACTGAATGAGCTTGTGTACAAGGCCTTATCTTGTTTGACTGCAGGAAAAGACACCACATTCATTTTACACAATGTAGTTATTTTGAATTCCTGTTGCACTGTGTGATGTCTCATACTTGGTTGTTTGTCTTAGAAAAGGGGTTTCGAAGTCAATTTTTCATCGAGAGCCAAATTAGCCTTATGGTTATCTTCAAAGGGCCATTGAATCCATGGATACAGGATTTTTTTACATAGTGGTTGGTGCCCTTTAGTTTTTACCCAGTTTGGATCCCTAGATGTTATTGAACAGCAACTTCTTTCACTTTTGATTATCTGCCACATGGACTGGAAATAATGAAAATTGCAGCCCAATAGTACTTGTGGCTCTGCGGTTAAGGAAAAGTTTGGGGTAGAGAAAGGCAGGATAGAACATTTTAAAGCCCCCAAGCCTTGTATCTAAATCCAAACCCCATTCTTCTAACTAAACAGAACAAACTTCAGAGGTTACTGTGTCAGAACAATCGGCTTTAGTCATATTTTTATTTATTGTGTCAGAAGCAAATTGAGGATACAGTTATAATGTATTTAAAAACACGAAGTTTAAAACTTGGCATTATGCTACATGTTCTTTAACCAGAAGCTGGCCACTTCGAGTGCCTCTGGTGTCACTGTAAGAAGATCCTCTGTTGTGTATGTGGCAGGGTTCAGGTTGCATTGTAGTAAGTGGTCTGTAGTTTGCACTTCTCCACACTCGCATGTTGTGGACTCTACTTTGCAGCCCCATTTCTTAAGGTTGGCTCTGCACTCGTGGTGCCAGAGCGCAGTCTGTTCAGCGCCTTCAAAGTTGCCCAGTCTGTGTGCCCAGGAAGGAGTCTCTCATCCGGTATCAGCCACTGATTGAGGTTCTGGGTTTTTACCTGCAACTTTTGGACTCTCGCGTGCTGAGGTATTCCTGCAAGTATTGCTGTAGATCTTAGGAAGCTATTTCTTGATTTTAGACATTGGCTTGCTGGCTGATATCCAAACAGAGGATGGGCCAGACCAGGCCCGTAGCCAGGATTTTGATTCGGGAGGGGCTGAGTTTGAATCAGGGAGGGGGGCTGAGTCTGAGTGAAAGCAGGTCTACCCTAGCAAACCTTTTGTATCGTTACCCCAATACCCCCATGCATATGGGATATATTGAGAATGGTGATCAGATCATGATATGAATAAACATAACAGTTTAAATAATGCACCAGTAAGGCTTTTCGCGAACCAGCATGAGAATTTCGGGGGGGGGGAAGCCCCTCAACCCCCCCCCCCCCACCCGGCTACATGCCTGGCAGAACACATCATTTACTTGGTCCAGCTTTAGTCATTATGTCTAATGATGGAGAATACAGGCATTGTAGTCTAGCATCTGGACTGGTGAGCTGGATTCGGCCCATGAGCTTTGCTTTGACACATGTGCTCTAGAACATGCTACTCTGAAAATATCTTTTCCCATGCCCTTAAGCTGTTTTCCCAGGCACATGGTGGGCCTTGGTTGCTTAGGCTTACCTATGAAGGCATTGAATTATAGCCTATCTGTAAGCCGCCTTGAGTCCCTTCGGGGCAGAGAAAGGCAGGATGTAAATATGGCAAATAAATAAATAGTAAATAAACAACTGCTACATTGCCCGATCACATAGATCTGACACAAACTAGGTCTCTTTGCAGTTCTTCCAATGACTAAATGGGTGAGGATTATTGACTTCAGATTGTTTAACCATGAAAGTAAGAAGATTATTATTTCAGTTAGTGTTGAAATGAAAGTGCAGAGTAAACAAGACTAGTCTCTCATACAGAAGTGTGAGTTTAATTCAGTTCTGGTATTCTGAACAAATTTCTGGGGTTAGAATTGATTGATTCTAAGTATGCATCTTTCATACCAAACTCCAGTGGGTGTTGTTGTTTTTTAAGTAGCTCCTGCAGCCTTACTGCCTTTCTATCTCTGGATGAAAAAGAAATTTGGGCTACTTACAGATCCATGATACGTACATCTTGACTTTTCTTTCAGCTTATTGAACCTCTTCTGCACTCATCCTTCTTTTGATATAACACATGTTTCAAAACCAGGTTGGGGGCACCCATAAACCAGGTGTGGCCGTTAATAGGGAAAGTGATACTCTTCTTTTTTGATAATCAACATATTTTTATTTAACACACATACAGAGAGAACAAAACCATAAGTACAACAATATCACATGGCTCAGATATTCCTGTCAAGAAGTATAAGTGTGGAATTACATGCTTGAATGTTCTCAATATTAAAATATATTCTGCTTCTGTAATCCTAGCATATTAGGGGTGAAGTGTCTAGTTTTCCACCTGACAGGCTAACTTTCTTCATTGAAGTGATTTTTGGCATACAGCAGGTATGAGCCATTTTTGTTCCCCACATGTGTCAATTTGTTTTTACTCAAAAATTTCCCTCTGGGGTTGTAGAGAGGCATTTCCAACACATGTTTATGTTTTCTTCTAGTGGACATTCCTGCCACCTTGGGGACAGCATAAGCAAATTTAGACCAAAGAAGAAATCTATTTCAAAACAGAACGTGACTTCTGCTTATTTTCTGTTCTTAAGTGGTGGAAATGTCTTCTTGTCCCTTAAGCGGCATTTAAGGGCACAAACTATGTATGTATGTATGTATGTATGTATTGTTTCTTGCAGTGTGACAAAGCTTTGACCCTTGAGGTTTCCCGAGGAGCTAATGCAGCCTCCCATTCATCCACAATTGGTCTTAGATATGTTTTGTTGTTGTTTATTCATTCAGTTATTTCCAACTCTTCATGACCTCATGGACCAGCCCACGCTTGAGTTCCCTGTTGGCCTCAGGTCCTTCAAGATCAAGCTAGTCACTTGATGCCATCCATCCATCTTGCCCTTGGTCGGCCCCTCTTCCTTTTCCTTCCATTCTCCCAGCATCATTATCTTCTCCAAGCTTTCCTGTCTTCTCATTACGTGGCCAAAGTATTGTATATACTTGAGTATAAGCCTAGTTTTTCAGTCCTTTTTTTAGGCTGAAAAAGTCTCCCCCGGCTTATACTCAAGTCAATATTATTTATTATTTTACTTCGTTGTTGTTATTATTATTATTACATTTATTATTTTATTGTTGTTACTATTACATTTATTATTTTATTCTATTATTGTTATAGTTACATTTATTATTTTACTCTATTTATTATTATTGGAGGAGGATATGTAAGCATGTTTACATTGAGGAAGGTTAGAATGATGGTTTAATTAGAGTTGGACAGTCTTATCTTGAATTACAGTTTTATGTAAATATTCAAAAACATTTAACCTACTGATGCCTAAATTAATATAATTTTATTGGTATCTATTTTTATTTTGAAATTGACCCATAAATGCTGCATTTCCCACCCTCGGCTTATACTCGAGTCAATACATTTTCCCAGTTTTTTGTGGTAAAATTAGGTGCCTCGGCTTATATTCGGGTCGGCTTATACTCGAGTATATACGGTACTTCATCTTTGCCTCTAATATCTTTCCCTCCAGTGAGCAGCCGAGCATTATTTCCTGGAGTCTGGACTGGCTGGATCTTCTTGCGGTCCAAGGCAACACCACCGTTCAAAAGCATCTATCTTCCTTCGCTCAGGCTTCCTTATGGTCCAGCTCTTACATCCATTTATTATTATTTATTTATTTATTTCAGAGTTTTATATACTGACCTTCTCACCTCTTTTGAGGGACTCAGACCGGTTTCCAACCATAAAAACACATACAATCAGTAAAAACATCATAGTTCATATTACAATAACACATTAAAACAACAAATATATCCAAAACTACAGTGGTCAGTCGTCATACTAAAAAACAATTATACATCATCTTCCATCCATGTCTTAGGGTGTTGTCTCACTCATCAAAAGCCTGCCTCCATAACCATGTCTTCACCATGTCATCCATAGGTTACTGTGGGGAATACCATTGCTTTAACTATGCGGATCTTTGTTGCCAGTGTGATGTCTCTACTCTTTACTATTTTATCAAGATTGGACATTGCTCTCTTCCCAAGAAGTAAGTCTCCTGATTTCCTGGCTGCAGTCTGCGTCTGCAGTAATCTTTGTGTCTAGAAATACAAAGTCTGTCACTGTCTCCATGTTTTCTCCCTCTATTTGCCAGTTATCCATCAATCTGGTTGCCATCATCTTCGTTTTTTTTTTTCATGTTTAACTGCAACCTTAAAGACGGCTCCCTTTTCAAAAGGTGCAGTAGAGCCTCGCTTATCCGACATGCACGGGCTGGCAGAATGTTGGATAAGCAAACATGTTGGATAATAAGGAGGGATTAAGGAAAAGTCTATTAAATGTCAAATTACGTTATGATTTTACAAATAAAACACCAAAAATAATGTTTTACAACAAACCAAGAAAAAAAGCAGTTCAATACATGGTAACATTATGTAGTAATTACTGTATTTATGAATTCAACACCAAAACATGACTATGTATTGAAACAACTGTGGATCTGGACAGGAGGCAAAATGCATTGGATAATACAGAATGTTGGATGAGCGAAGGTTGGGTAAGCAAGATTCTACTGTAACAGTAAGGCACTGAGATTTTCCTTGCGTTCTGAAGTATGATCCTGGGAAAGCAGTACCATGTGGTATTTCCAAACATATAGATTATCCATTCAGACATCAAAGATGAAACCGTAGATTGCTTTTCAAATTTGCATGTCAGCCCTGCAAACTTCTCGGAGAAGACATATCCGAGAAAGACCAGAATTTTGCCATGCACCTTTTGCAAAAGTCGTTTTGACTTGTTCCAT